TGTTATGTACTAATTGTTGCACTAGAGTCGTGGGTGACGTGCCGAGGGTTGACCTCTTACCCATAGGTATGCAAGCCCCTCACCTGAAGAGGTTTATCCCAAACCTATGTCCGAACGCCGCCAGAGGTCGATCAAGGGCAAGACCGAGACAGTGCAGGGAGGAATGCAACGCTCGAAGGTGTTTATCGTCATCATTTGAAGTGAAAGAAATTACGAGGCCGCGCTATTGCCCGGCCGAAAAACACGCAACGACTGAAAAGTACAACCTTTTGTACCTGTGGCAGGACACAAGAAGGTGGTGTCAAACCCTCGCAGGTTTTTAGCAACAATAGCTGGAGTTTTAGGGGAAAATGACATCAAAGCCAGAGATCAGAAACCTGGGGAAAAATTATTATTAACATACATCTAGTTGTCGTTGAGAAATGCGGGGTGGTGCGAATGCGGGGTGGTGGTGAAAAACGCGGCTGCGTGTGTTCGGCATGAGTCTTCAAATTAATTTCATTGCCTCGCAACCACCCTGGAAACGATCATTTCCAGACCCATGAGTTATTCAATGATAGAATCCTTAGCGGGGCTACATTTCCCGCGGCAATGACATGAGGTGGTGTACTTTTTTTGCGTAGGCCGTGTTGCGGGTTTCGTTGGTAGGCCGTGTTGCGGGTTTCGTTGGTAAAGACTTTGGCTAAGCTGGTGACAAAAACCCAAACAAATGTATTTTTGTGCGGTTACGCCATGCGGCGGTATTTGTTTGGCGGTTGACGGAGGTTGCGTCTTTCGGCGGTATTGAGTTCGGTGGTGGCGGAAAAACGGAGAACAACGGCAAAATGGCGTCACACCGCTCGGCGCCGCCGCCCACGAAAACTGTTCATGGTATTTGTACTACATGCGGGGGGGGTAATGAGCCGCGGGTGACGACTCAATACCTTGCAGTAGTCTATCTGCGATGCTGTGCAAGGTGTGCGAGACACGCTGCTTCCTTCCGCAGGCAGCAACGCAGCAACCCGCAGAGGAACGCGAAATTTGCGGAATATATATGTTCACATCTTCAGGACTGAGGCACCCGCTCCCGCTGGAAAGTTGCTGACGGAGGAGGAACACATCCAACCACCTTTGCTCTATACCTAACAGCATATGTATGTATGTACTGACCACACAGAGCAGACACAAATGGACAGCAGTGTTGCTGCTGCTGCTGCTGCTGCTGCTGCTGCTGATGCTAAGTGGCAAAGACTCTCATCTGTCTTATACTCATTCGGCAACGTGAGAATATATATCACCCGCGTGGCGCCTGGCATGAAGAAAAAAGCGTGCTTCTCTTTTTTTTTTACTCGAAGATGATCCCTCCCCACACACCAAACGAAGCAAGTGAAGAATGGCAATGATGGCATCCCTCGGCCACGAGCTGTGTGTACGGCCCCCTTCCCTCTCCAGGCAGTCAGCGCTGTCTTGCCCCTCCCAGCAGCGGTGCGTGTTTATAGCTGAGTGCTTCCTGATCTGCCGGTCTGTCGGTTGTTGTTGTGTGGTTTTTGAAGGAAGCAACTAACTGCTGCTGCTGCGTGTGTGTGTTTACTGATGATGATAATCCTCTCCACACACCGGACGAAGCAACAGCAATGGCAATGGTATCCGTCACGAGCTTCTTGTGTGGCTCCCTTCTCCCGCCTGTCTGTGTGCTATGTTGACAATCGCGGTGTTGTTGCGTGTTTTGCTGAGTGCTTCCTCAGTTTTCTTCTGTGGGGTTGAACTGCTGGGTTTGTTGCATCGTGCGCGCGGCAGATCTCCGCTTTTGGTGTTACCCATTGTGTGGAAACCCAAGGGGTCGGGGAGCACAATCTCCTACGAATTTGGGGCACATACGGCCGTGAAGCACGGCCATCTCTCGCCGAAGCACGACCAAACCAGTGCGACGAAGAGCGCGCTATTTGTCTTCTTCCTCAGCAGTTAACACATCGTCAATTGGTGCCGCCCTGTACGTGCCGTTCTGGTTCCAAAAGTGCGTAAAACCGGCTTCACGGTAATCAAGTTTAGGGGCCCCTACAAAACGCGGCGCAACTCAGGCCGATATATAGAGCCTTTTTTTCCCTGCTGGGGGTGAGAAAGGAAAAAAGGTCGCGCGACTCGCTCGCTCCGCGGCTCATTAAAATTAAACAGAAGACCCCTGGAAACATCGTTGACTTCGAAGCGCACCTGAGAACAGCGGCCATCCCCATCCCACTTGATGTAGAGCTATACGAAGCGGGCCGGTGTGATTCATCCCGGTTGGTTTGGCGTGTCGAACCGGTGTCATCCTCTAAAAAGAAGGGTGGACTGTTGTCCACACCCAGCAAGCATCGCCAGAAGGTAGACGCAATCCAGTTGTACCAGGGAGTAAAGCCTTCCCTCGTCCCACTGATTCACTGAAGACAGTGACGCTTCCAGTACGTCCGCCTTCAAAGCGCACGCCGCCAATAAACAAGACTTCCCACTTCTGATAATCTCTTCCGAAGTCGGGTTCTGAGGGGGCCTCAATCAAACATCATGTTCTTTCGTTGTCGACCTAGATAAATTGTGCTCGACATCCTGATAGCTTGTGAGACTCGATATGTTCTAAACCGGCGGTGCTTCCCGGGGGTGTAGGCTAACCCAAGGCCGTTTGCCGGCGGACTTTTGTCACAAACTACGCGACCAGTCCTTTCACTAACGCACAAAACGGAGAGCTCTACGTCCTACAGAAACGTGCAATGCCACGACATTTACCGGTGACCTCTAGACCAGACATCAGTCCACCACACTCCTCCTGCCGCACCTTCAGAACTATACAAAACAAGTGTCATCCCTTCAGAAGCCTAGGTTTCATCGCACGTACACTTAACCGTTTTATTTTTTGGCCCACGAAGCACCTACATGTAGTTTCACTTATTATGAGATCGTCGACGACACGCATTGTGTCCTTGTAGAAACACCCTATGCGTATGTAGACTACATGTTAAAGATCTTTTTTTTTTTATACACTGGACACTGCGGACACAAGATATCACACCCACCCCTCGACCGAGTTGGAAAGGTTGACTTCTCAACATCAGAAAGGGCAGCGACGCCGACAACGGTGGCCTTCAAATCGCGTCGTCAAGAGCTTTGCGAAAACCTGTTGTTTCTTTCATGCGTCCTCTTTGTGGTGGAGTAATCGAGTTGTGCAGATTGGTCCTCTGGGGTTGTGTTATCTCGTGTCGTGGTATATCATTCCGAATGTAGGCGTTTTCGCAACTCATTCCATCAGTTACGCCAGGCAACGACACGCATGCCTGAATCTGAAAGCAAGCATAGCCATGCGTCGCTTTCACAAGGATCTACTACACACTTGACAAAAGAGAGTTTCGACCAAACTGTCGCCGGCGGCCTCATGGGCAGCCAAACTGCTGTGCCCCCACCTCACGCAGCAATACATCACGACATCACACGACCTGATTTAGGTTTCAGAACACCGACAGATTAGACAATGAGCAGCCCGGTCGTTCTGTTGGGGGCATGTTTCGCGTAGCTCAGCGGCGACACGTCCACCCCGGCGCCCTCCTCAATGTCACATCGCACGTCGCGTGCCCTAGTCTTGATGGATACCGCACGCCAGCTCACAAAGAGAGAGCACTGTACTCCGCTGTACTGCTGTAGATCGTCATCCAAAACATCAAGACTCACTGGTGTAAATGCACGCGAGACACAACAAAAGCACAAGAGCACACTAGCGGTGCGGGAGTGCGTGGCTTCATCGGCGCAGCGACACCAACTTGCAACAGTGTCGGATCGGTGCGCGGGATAACCACTGCTGTTTCGCAGTTTAGATGTACACAGTGCTTTACATGCAGCAGTTCGACCGCATCCTTGTGTGGTTCGACCGCATTTTTTATTGGTAAAAAAAAAAATTACATCACCTGGTAGTTTTTAACCAGGTGGATGACAGAAGATACCGCACCCCCTGGACCGATTTGATACGCATAGACTATGCTTTCCTAGTCGTTTCAATGAAAGACACCCAACGACTTGGCAGTAAGCTATAACCTGGAGTGTGCTGCAGCGACACAACAGCAGTAGACTACAGCGGTACAAACTACACGTGAGACCGCCCGTGGTCTGCCATGAAGAAAAAAAAATAAAAACAGTGGTCTCCTTCGAGCCACACACGCACACTGCTGTGAGAGACTGAGCTTGGAAAGAACAGCAAGAACTGCTTATACCGCTGTTGTTGGATATCTGGTGCGCCAGAAGGTCGATGGGCCGACGTACTGCAGTTAGAAATACTGTAGTTAGAAATAAAGCTCTTCTTATAAAGTGTTTTCGTCTCCCCCCACCTTGAGGCCCTCTAGGTATGTTCCTGGTCAGAAAGACTAGATACCCCGTTCGAGATATGACCACAGTCGAAAGGTATGTTTAAAAACACCGTGCTAGACTTGGGCTACTGCTGTTGATCTTGTTGGTTCGACTTTGCAATGTCTAGTCTAGACTATGCATTTTTGTTTTTTTGGTCTGACCGTCTACTGCTGTATGAGCCCTTCGGTTACGAAATGACATCATCCGGAATATGGCAGCTGCGATTTGGTTGAAATAAGAGTGGAACCCTGGCGCAAGTGACTCTGAGCCCATGGACGGACGTCCAACTTGATAACTTAATATGTCCTCATCTGCTACCGATATCTTCACGCCAACCACTTTTATCACCTCTTGGCTGGGATTCGGAAAAGGGGTCGCTCGCCGGTGGTAAGTCCGGGACGATGCACACCACACGCATGCCTTTTTCCCACATACTGACGTCCAGACTGTATTGACCGCGGAGCGCGTATTGTTTTTTCTGCCTGCGCACGGAGATTTAGTCTATGCATATGCGTGCCGACCTTATATGTACCTGTGCGCCCGCTATCTCCAACCATCGATACAGCGTGCACAAGAACAAATCGTTGACCCCCCTCCCCACAACCAACCCTCCTCCCTGGCCTAGAGAACACACCAGCAGCAGCACTTCTCATTACAGGATGCCGCCAGAAACGGCAGACGAAGAACGGCCACGGACCGGCGAAGCAGTTGTGCTGAAGGTATCTGATTTCGTGCAGATCGTCGACAACGGTTGCTTAGCGCCGGGCCGACCTATGTTCGGTTTAAATACAGGAAGGTTTGTTCGTCGAAGCAGATAGAATAAACTGGTGTTTATTTTGTAACAGTCGAATTAGAATTTGGGCTTCATTTTCTACCGGAAAACCCAGGGTCACGGTGTTTGGAATTATTAGTCTATAGTTGGGGGTGTCATTCCGTGATCGAGTCCACGCAGGGGCTGTAGCAAAGTCGGGTAACGTGTGACAGCTACAGAGCGCGTGAAGCAACGGAAGGACAGCAGCAGCCGCCTAACGCAGTAGCGGCGGCAGTTTAGAAAAGGGCGGGACGGGACACGGCGCAAGCATTGGGGAAGTGACCAGCACGCGACTCTCCATATAAAGGTGTGTACTCGTGTCCAACATCCATCGTGTCGGCCGTGTTCCTATTCGCGTCCCGCTACTCTTGTGACCTCACCGCTGCGTGCATTTAGCACGAGGGGGGAGGGTGCAGTAAGATAAGCGGCGGCAAGCCAACGCAGTCTCGCTCGCCGCGCCGCTCAGATAGGTCCCTTCCCAAACATGGGATGCGGTTCATCCCAACCGAGACGTACTCTCGCTGAAGAAAAAAAATGCGGTTCGTCCCAACCAGACGTACTCTCTCTGAAGAAAAAAATCAACGGCAAAAAGAAAGAGCGGGGCCTGTTGTATGGTCGCACGCTGACTTGTCGCGGTTGATAGCAGCCATTGTACTGCACGGGGTGGAGGAACCCTGCGGCATCGGACATAACCAATCGACCCGCGGCAGTAGGGCATGATGCTGTCACGATTATGCACATGAGGCAGGTGCCTTGTTTTCTGTTTCCCCCGGCTTACTAGGGACTACTTGCCGGTACAATCTTGTCTGTGCCGCGCACAGAGGGGCATATAGCTGAAGGAATCGACGATAATATGCCCACTCACGTAAGCAATCGTCTCCACGGATGGTATTGACAAGTCCCCACTGATGGTATCGACAAGTCCCATGGCATACAAAGCGGCCGCATACGTAATCGGAAAGTGCATTCAACAGCATTCACGGGAACGGATAAAAGCAAAAACACATGCATGCGAGAGAAAGACTCAAAGAAAAAGACTGAAAAACAATGAAGACGAGAAAAAAAAAACGAGACAGCGAACTACGTGCTGTATGCATAAGGAAAAAAGAAGATGAGAAAAAAATAGGGGGGGGGGAGGTGGATGTGACACGCGAGGTTCGAACTCGCGAGGAACGTCAGGTAGCGGTCCATGTGAGTGCATCACGGTCTCGAGGGGCATCACGTCAAATTTATTGCCGCCGTGACACAAACCTTCTATAAGAATACGTCACGTCCATCGACGATTAAGCGACCAAAAACGCCCGGACAGCAATTGATGCATGCCAAAAACTCGTCAACCTGCCGTAGGATTGTCTATGCGGAAGTGATCTCAATGAAAATAAAAAAAAACAAGGACACGCACCAGCACGGGACGCGCCAATAGTGGAAGCACTCGTCCGTGCTGTTGGCGAGTGGAAGTTAACCGATCTCAACGCAACGAAACACGAAGTCATACATGTATCAGCACGGGATGCGCCAATGAGTGGAAGCACCCGCGCTGTTGGCGAGTAGAGTTAACCGAATTCAACGCAGCGGTAGAAAAATACCACAAATCAAACATCAGTACGGGACGCGCCAATGAGTGGAAGCACCCGTGCTGCATATGTGATGTCAGCCTCAGCACGGGACGCGCCAATGAGTGGAAGCACTCGTGCGGTTGGTGAGTAGAGTTAACCGATCTCAAAAAGAAAGAACAAAACGCCGTACATGTATCAGCACGGGACGCGCCAATGAGTGGAAGCACCCGCGCTGTTGGCGAGTAGAGTTAACCGAATTCAACGCAGCGGTAGAAAAATACCACAAATCATGCATCAGTACGGGACGCGCCAATGAGTGGAAGCACCCGTGCTGCATATGTGATGTCAGCCTCAGCACGGGACGCGCCAATGAGTGGAAGCACTCGTGCTGTTGGCGAGTAGAGTTAACCGATCTCAAAAAGAAAGAACAAAACGCCGTACATGTATCAGCACGGGACGCGCCAATGAGTGGAAGCACCCGCGCTGTTGGCGAGTAGAGTTAACCGAATTCAACGCAGCGGTAGGAAATACCACAAATCATGCATCAGTACGGGACGCGCCAATGAGTGGAAGCACCCGTGCTGCATATGTGTTGTCAGCCTCAGCACGGGACGCGCCAACGAGTGGAAGCACTCGTGCTGTTGGCGAGTAGAGTTAACCGATCTCAAAAAGAAAGAACAAAACGCCGTACACGTATCAGCACGGGACGCACCAATGAGTGGAAGCACCCGCGCTGTTGGCGAGTAGAGTTAACCGAATTCAACGCAGCGGTAGGAAATACCACAAATCATGCATCAGTACGGGACGCGCCAATGAGTGGAAGCACCCGTGCTGTATATGTGTTGTCAGCCTCAGCACGGGACGCGCCAACGAGTGGAAGCACTCGTGCTGTTGGCGAGTAGAGTTAACCGATCTCAAAAAGAAAGAACAAAAACGCCGTACACGTATTAGCACGGGACGCGCCAATGAGTGGACGCACCCGTGCTGTTGGCGAGTAGAGTTAACCGAATTCAACGCATCGAAAACGAAGTCGTACACGTATCAGTACGGGACGCGCCAATGAGTGGAAGCACCCGTGCTGCATATGTGTTGTCAGTTTCAGCAAGGGACGCGCCAATGAGTGCTGTTGGCGAGTAGAGTTAACCGATCTCAAAAAGAAAGAACAAAAACGCCGTACACGTATCAGTACGGGACGCGCCAATGAGTGGGCGCACCCGTGCTGTTGGGCGAGTAGAATTAACCGATCTCCACGCATCGAAAACGAAGTCATACACGTATCAGTACGGGACGCGCCAATGAGTGGAAGCACCCGTGCTCATATGTGTTGTCAGTTTCAGCAAGGGACGCGCCAATGAGTGGAAGCACCCGCGCTGCGTACAAGTATCATCAGTGCGGGTCGCGCCAATGAGTGGAAGCACCCGTGCTGCATATGTGTTGTCAGTTTCAGCGAGGGACGCGCCAATGAGTGGAAGCACCCGCGCTGTTGGCAAGTGGAGTTCACCGTATCCAACGCATCGAAAAAAAAAAAAAACACGTATCAGCACGGGACGCGCCAATGAGTGGAAGCACCCGTGCCGATGGCGAACCGGGGTTCACCGAATCCAAGAAAATATATATATAAAAAAAAAAAAGAGAAACCATCGCTAGTGTTCCAAAGAGAGAAATATTCGGGATTGGTCGACGTCCGGTGACCGTAGCGTCAGCAGCAATAATCACTCCATTCAATCCACAGGCGTCGAGAATGAACTAACGCGAGCTCGCGATATAACAACGCGTCGTTCTGGGCCCGACGAAAACCCACGTCAGATAGTTTCGCCCGAAGATAGGATTTGTAGACCATTCTAACTGCAGATCCAGGCGCGCGATCGACTACGCCCACGATGAAGAGGAAAAGAAGTGTTCCCGCAACGCCGCCCTGACGCTCGCCCGCCGCCTGCCGCCGGTCCGCTGCTTATACGACTCCAACCGCGACCAGATGCCGACACGGGCCTCCACGCGGAGCGGCAGGGCAGCGGCTGGGCAAGCAGGGCGAGGTCGGGCGGCGACACCTTCGACACCACGCACGAGAGGTCTACCGCGCGATCGGTGGCGAGCTCGACGGCTCGCCCCTCGACGCGCAGCGGATCACGTACTCCCGCGAGGCGTCGAGCGGTATCCTCCTCGCGAGCGCCAGGGACAGGCACCCGCGGCGACCCCCCCGCTGATGAGACTGAGCTCGCTTCTCTCCGCGGGCTGGTGGACGGCCTGAGGGAGGAGCTGCAGCGGAAGCGCGATGAGGCTGCCGGTGATCGCCAGCAGCTTCAAGCAACGATCGACGACCTGATCGCCACCCAAGCAGCAGGACCTGGCCTTCCGGGGGGGGGTGCAACTTGTGGGCACAACCGCCCCACCATCGGCCTCTCGGGCCCCCGCTACACCCAGCGCCGAGGCGGCTAAGGCTACGGCAAAGGATAGAGCGCGGATGTGGGGGGACCTCCGCCGGGTAAAAGCGTGGCTCATCCTGGGGCGGCCCCCGGCAGTTTCAAAACTGTCGCAGATGGAGTGGCAATCCTTGCTTCGCAAAGGCGTCCTGGTGACAGAGAAAGTGGCGGCATCGCTCGACACGCTCGTGGTTACTGCTTCGCCTTCAACTCGTCGTCCGGTTGCCATGATCGTAACTGCCCACACATCCACGCCCAGAACCCTTCCCACGCTAGGCGCGGAGCGTCCGAAACTCCGGCAACCGGCGCGCGCGGCGTTGGCCACGGCAACGGGGGAGGGCGCGGAGGAGAGGCGCGCGCCGCTGGCGAGGGCGGCGCGAGACCCAAGGCCGCTGGCTTCTTCACCCACGGGAAAGACAAATAGGGGTGCGGGCTCTCCCGCGTAGCGGGGGGGCCTACCTCGGATGGCAGCGCACCTGCGGCTAAATCGAACGGCAGCACGCCGGTCTACACGAGGTTGGCTCCAGGGCTATCAGCAGGTTCAGGACCTGGGACAGGCAGGACGGGACTTTGTTACCGACGTCTTGGCATGCAGCTCGTCGAGCACTCAGTTGCGTCTTCGTCTAGAAGGACTTACACGTCAGGCTTCAACTCTTGGTGCACGTTTCGCAGGCTGACGGAGAAGCCCAAGTTCCTAGGGCAACGTGCCGGGGACCTTCATGTGTGGGAGTTGATAGACTTCGTAGCCTGGTGTTTCGAGTCTGAGGGTAATCTAGCGAGTACAATATCCGGAAAACTCACGGCTGTACAACATTTTCATAGGCTGGAAGCTTCTGTCGAGCTAGACTTGTCGTCTCCGATGTTGAAATGTGCGCTAAGGGGGATTGCGAGGAACCACGTGGCTGTGGGGACGGTACGCCGTGTGCGCCTGCCTGTGTCTTGGCGTATGCTGCTGGACGGGGAAAGCGCAAGCCAGAACTGGGGGGAAGGGGGCAGAGTGATGTGGCTGTGTCTGTGCTTGTCCTATCTCTTTATCACACGGTCTGATGAGGTGTTCGCGAATGATGCGGGCAGGGTGCATGAGGCACACTGTCTTACGAGGGCGGACGTAGCATTGTTTGCTGGCGAGACGCAATTAGTCTTTAGTCACTATCGTAGAGCAGACCGTGTCGAAATGAGGTTTAGAGGGCACAAGGCCGATCAAGAGCAGAAAGGAAACATACGGGTTCGTACGCGAGACGAAGTCACCGGACCGCAGTCAGGTGTGAGAGCACGCGGTGGCGCGGTGGCTCTTGTGGTGGAGCTGTTATCGTGTCATGCGACGTTCCCTGACTCCGCACCGTTGGCTTCGTACCGTAGTGGAAGAGCAGTGAGAGTAGTGAGGTATACTGCTGCCCTCCGTGCACTCAGAGAAGTGGTAGCGAGGTCGGGGCGTAACCCCCAGGAGTACGCGTTGCACTCGTTGCGAATTGGAGGCGCGACGGCTCTTGCATCGGGCGGAGACATCGCAGAACGAGTGATTCAGAGAGAAGGGAAGTGGAGGTCGGATGCATACAAGCCGTACGCGCGAAACAATGTAGAGGATTCGCGGCGAGTGTCACGGAAACTTACAGACGGCAGTAGGATCGTATCGAGACAGCCGGGGGAGGGGACCGTCTGGGGGAACGGATAGTTGACTTATTCGGTAGTCGTCCAGAAACTGACCTCGATGTGGGTGTTGTAGAATGGTGTGTACCATTTGAGGACTTGGTCAGTTTTGGGACTCCTGCGTTTGCAGTCGTAGTCCCCCGGCTAGTATTTGTGGGGAGAGAGATGGATTTGTAAGAGTTGACGCCGGCCTTTGCAGCTAACGCGGCCGGAGAGACGATGAGCGTTTCGTGCGTCTCTCTCCCCAACACGTAGCCTAGAAACCGAAGAAATAATGAAGCAATTCGAAAGAAAACAAAATAAAAGGAAGGTTTGTTCGTCGAAGCAGATAGAATAAACTGGTGTTTATTTTGTAACAGTCGAATTAGAATTTGGCTTCATTTTCTACCGGAAACCCAGGGTCACGGTGTTTGGAATTATTAGTCTATAGTTGGGGGTGTCATTCCGTGATCGAGTCCACGCAGGGGCTGTAGCAAAGTCGGGTAACGTGTGACAGCTACAGAGCGCGTGAAGCAACGGAAGGACAGCAGCAGCCGCCTAACGCAGTAGCGGCGGCAGTTTAGAAAATCCCGCCCTCCCATCCCTTTTCTTTCGAAGGTGGGGGCATAAGTTCGGGAATATTCGGTATCTAGTCAGGTGTTGTAGAATGGTGTGTACCATTTGAGGACTTGGTCAGTTTTGGGACTCCTGCGTTTGCAGTCGTAGTCCCCCGGCTAGTATTTGTGGGGAGAGAGATGGATTTGTAAGAGTTGACGCCGGCCTTTGCAGCTAACGCGGCCGGAGAGACGATGAGCGTTTCGTGCGTCTCTCTCCCCAACACGTAGCCTAGAAACCGAAGAAATAATGAAGCAATTCGAAAGAAAACAAAATAAACAATGCTTTTAGACCTGTTACTGCACAGCACATCGCGAGGGAGATTGAGGACAGGAATGGCCTGTCCACCTCGACCACGGCAGTGGCATTGACCCCGCCTCGGGAAGATTGGGGGACGCCGGAGGGCTGGCTGGATGCAGTCGAGAACGCGCTGAAGAAAACCAAAGACGGCGAGGTGAGACATCCTAACCACGGTGACACATGTCTTGATAATGCTTCAGCGATTCAAACGTGGCCGGAACCCAGCAGCTGCATCCGGCGAAAACATAGAACGAGTGGTTATATGGGTGTTGTGTGGTCTAGGCTACAACAGTCAACTCGTCGACGGCAATGCCGGATCACCACACGATTACCCGATGTAGTCTATATATAATTCGACAGCTGGAAGCTGCTGGTTGTTTTTCTGAGACACAAATCTTCGGTCTTTTCTAGGGCTGGTTTTGTATTTTATCTTGTTCTTGCCTCGCAGCCTCCCTCAACACCACTCACTCGATCTTGGGTTGCGCTCTCAATTTATGGTACAGGGCAAGGCCGACATTTCTCGGCGGATTGAGACCGTCCGGAGCTCCCAATCCAAAATATCATGGGACGCCGCCCTGAAAGCATCCACGTGGGTAAGTGTTGTGGAGCTGCTGCCATGGTCTCGGGTGTAGAAGCGTAGGTTGTCCACCTAACTTGCCACAACAGTAGCGTTTGGCCGCGTGGTCACCCCTGTGGGATATTTGAGTGGAATAAAATGTGTTGGACAAAGTTGGAACTGTTTCTTTTCAAGAACAAGGGAGTACGAAGACGAGACATCCACCATCGAAAACCGTGCTCGGGCTACCCTGCCGTTAACACTGTCGCCCGAAGTCTACCCTGTTTTCCCGGAAAGCCGCGATCCACGATGAAGTAGGGTAAGGATGATTGAGTTGTAAATTGCCCTAGTTTTCAACCGAATGTAGGACATCGTGTTTCCAAAGTTTCCCAACCCCCCACGCCCTTGGTCTTACCGTTCGATCCGATTTCGCGCAGGACATCGAGCACGGCCAGGTTGAGCACGAGTTCGAGGATCACCGCCCGCACATGGTCACGACTCAAGGTCAACATCGTTTCGCGGTGCTCAATGCCGCGTTGCACGAGCAACTGGGCCTGTCACTTTCACGAGGCGGAGACCTTGGGGAAGAAGGGGTCTTCCACGGCGAAAAAGGTCAGTGTTAGCTTGATCGGTCGAGGAGCCATGAGGAACACATGGAGTATCCCTCGATACACACTGAATCGTCTTAGAGCAATGAGGAAATAAATGTAAATATATAGTGTAGACGAATATATCCGGTCAAGGAGATACTTCTAGGAGGGAAGCATGGAGTATCCCTCAATTCAACCTGATCGGCCAAGGAGCGATGACATAACGAGGCAAACACTGGGTGCGTCCGAAATAATGCACACTGACCGACTGATCGGTCGAGGAGCAATAATGAAAAACCAAGGCAAACCACGTCCCTCGATATAAGCTTTTCGATCCCCCACAGCCACGGGGAACACATGGAGTATACATCAATACACATTGAATGGCCTGAGAGCTATGAGGAAATACCAATTTGTTGTGGGTCGAAAAGTTAGGAGGGAAGCGTGAAGTATCCCTCAACGCAACCTGATCGGCCGAGTAGCGATGACGGAATAACGGGGCAAACAATGGGTAAGTCCGAAAGTTGTGCACATTGATCGGCCTGGGAGCAATACTGAAAGGTATAGGCAAACGCTCGGTACGCCCCGCGTTTTGAGTCTTTCGGCCCCCCAGAGCCACGGGGAACACATGGAGCATTCCTTGTTAAGATGTAGAGCATACCATGCTACGAGTCAGTCAGCGCTGACGTAGCAAAGTGGATGTGCTGTACATCTTAACAAAAGTGCGACCGGGATCCTTCCGCCTGTTATAGAGCTGTTGGACCTCGGTAAACCCCAGAGTTGTAATCCCTGTAATCAGCGCTGCCCCCATGCGGTTCATCGCATTACAGGGCGGGAATATGTGTCTTCCCTTGAACGACTGGAATGTAAACCGTCTTGCTGACTTGATGCATAGTGGATATGCTGTACATGTTAACATCCCTCAATACACAGTGATTTGCCATCACCGCAACGAGGAGATATCAATTTCTAGTGTAGCATATGTATACCGATCAAGGACCTAGTAAGGAATCATGAGTCTACCTAATCGGCCGAGGAACGATGACGGAATAGAACGGGGCAAACAATGGGTAGTCTAAGTCCGAAAATTATGCACACTAATCGGTCTGGGAGCAATATTTTAAATACAAGGAAAACACAGGATACGTCACTCGCTACAGGACGTGTCGGTCGAGGAGAAACGAGGTCAAATTAGAAGAGTACACAAAGGTACACGGCGAGCGGTTGAGGAACCTCAAGGCCATAATACTTGCAGTCGGTCAGTGTTTATTAATATGTTGATGTTCAGATTCCGTTCTACTCCTGCAGGACCGCCGCGATAACGCTGCACCACCCCCATAACGTATTGTTTCTATCTTGGTGCACAAGGTATAGGAGGTATGGATGAATATTACGCGCAGATACTCGGTCAATCGGCGGTATACAGAGGTGGTCTTTACAGTACATACCTCCTCACAGGCTTAAAACGTGAACAATTTTCAACCGTGCTCAAACACGGTCTTCTATGCTAGGCTGGGGTATGCGCCACGTTCTGTTTGACACGAGAGATACTGTCTAGCACTGACATGGTTGTGTACGCATGGTGAATGCAGATGCAGCGCGCAGGGAGGCTCTCGAAGACAAGCTCAAGACTGCAGTGAAGGGCTGCACGGTCTCCTTCGCCATACATTCCTACATGACCCACGAGGCGGCCAGAAAGATTGCGCATGACTTACGCCAGGCGGAGTCTCGTACGACGGTAAGGAACACTTCCGAACAGAAAGGAGGATGCTCGTAGCAAAGTACCACATGGCCACAAGTCACTCTTCATTTCTCACCTCACCAGTCGAAAGTGATATATATCACTCTACGAGGGTGAGGGGCCAATAATGTTTTAGCCGCCAATCTGTACTTTGCAGGGTGCCAGAGTTGGTTTCACCGGTGCGTCCATCGATTCCTCTACAAATTTCCAGACGTTTGGTATTCCTTTGTAGAACAACTTCGGCTTGTATGACAGGTTGCGGTGCATACGATGAGGTAGCGTCTGATACAGCGGTTGTTTCAAAGCTACCATGAGGTAGCGTCTGATACAACGGTTGTTTCAAAGCTACCATGAGGTAGCGTCTGATACAGCGGTTGTTTCAAAGCTACCATGAGGTAGCGTCTGATACAGCGGTTGTTTCAAAGCTATTTCATCAAGAAGCTGGAGTTCTGTTAACACTCAACCCCCTCGTCCGGCACAGCTCCGAACTATGCATACTCGAAGTGGGTATCGGGTTACCAGCGTTTTCACAGCTACTTGACCGAGAAGCTGTAATTCTGAAATCACTCAACTCTCTCGTAGCACAGCTGGCCCAACAGTAGGTAGGGTTCTTTTGACTACAATGCGCCTTGTACTTCCCATTGCTACGCAAACACACTATGCATTGTGGGTATTGAGGTGACCACGAGATAGTTGTTGTCTCGTGGTTTATGTTAAACGGGTCCGTTGTGTACACTGTTACAGTAGTAATCCAAACGTCTATCGAGGTCTTGTGCACAATACGGTAATCTTCGCGCTTGCTGTCGCTATGATGGTACGTTGTTATTAAATCAATGCAGTATCAAAAGCAGCGACGACTCTTGAGTGTACATCACGTTCACAAACGTTTGGAAACGGCTAAATACTTGATCGAGGAGCTTGGCATTTACAATCAACCAATGTAATCCAATCCATTTTTTTACTATGATTTCCCAAGTTTATGCCTGTTTTGGCCACACGGGCAACTACTGACATCCGGCCTCTACGACTTTCCCTGCCTCAATTCGTGCCATGCTACACAGAAAGAGTCTTTGGTTGACGTTGCAAAGACAATGGCGCCGCTCATCAAGCAGGTCTACGACCCTGAGCAGAAGATCTGCCACGATCGCGCAGCTAAAACGTTCGGCGATACCTGGAATTTCAACCTGACGGAGCCCAGATTCGCAGAGGCAGGCAACCGCACTAAGCAGACCTTAGCGAAAACCGTTAAAGATGCCCTCGACTTAATCAACATCAACACGAGGCAGCAGGCGACTTCGTTGTTTGTTTTCGCGTACGCGATGTGCCCGGCAAACGAAACTGTCAAGTGGTTAGTGAACTACCTGGAGCAGCAGGGGACGATCAAGGCTGACGCCAACAGAGGTACCTCCGTGCCTTCCCCCCCGGTGATGCCCGCATTCTTGAAGAAGGAAGGGATGCCATGACCGGTAGCGCGCGCATCCGAATAGCGGGTTGTTGGAATTTAATGCGACGTTGCGTCTCACCGGAAATAGGATTTCATCCTTCACAATACCACGAGTTGAATATATTGGTTGGTTTCTCAGCTGTCTTATTCCAGCTTCACATGTTCAACCACTAATTATCTCACGTTTTCCAGTTTCCCACATATCTTCAACGACTTTGTTCTGATGTACTCCCGACCGGACGGTGCCCCACACATGACATTGTGCGTATTGCTTTTAATTTCAATCCCATGTCCGTTGTTGTTACCGTCGCGTGCCTATCATTCGCGCAGCAGGGAATACCTGAAGCCAGGACGGTACACCCGCTCAAGGAGTTTGCTCTCCAAGGTTTCTTCTCGTTGACCGCGAGGACCCAAACTTCGCCGGATGTGCAGTCATATATTGAGAACAACGGTTTTTGCGAGCATTTCCGCACGAAGTACGCCATTCAGCTGGCTACATGCGAGATCATAGACGCGATGGTCATGTCTCTTCTCACACGACAGCACTTGCCTCGCCGGGAGCAGAGTTCGACTAAGGCACACCCGGCTCAGGATGTACAACTCCTGGCCAACGTCATGACAGACTTAGTCAGCAAAGAAGAGACGACATACTTCGGAAAGTGTGGGGAGGGCACGCGGGGTGAGTTCCGGTCGGCCGTGAAGCGTCTGACTCCGGTCCTGGCACGATATTTCGGACTCCCCGCGCTGGACTCATCGAACAACAAGATCAACAGGACGAAGCTCAAGAAATCAGTAGCGCGGAGGTCCAAGGCCTACAACGACGCCTTTACCTCGGGGCAGACGCTCTCCGAAGATATGAACCCTTCGAACACCACAATTTTGGTGGTCAACGGCTACGCCAATAAGCCCTTCCTGTCGATTAGCGGGTCACAAGCGATATTTTCGGACGAGACATGGAACGATTGGGTGAGGGCAGTCCGAATATGGTCCATCGCACCAAAAGGCACTACTTTTCTGTACTGTTGAACTGTGGTGTTCGATTTCTGCGACCTGGTTGGTTCTCGATATCTGAACATGTTTCCTGCAGTACCATAGGCAGTCCACCTTGCCCGAAAGAACATATGCCCTTGAAGTTTACTTCTACTACTAACCAATTTTCTATTCCGTCGCTCGATTTCTTCCTTTCCTCCGTCCCTTGGTTTCGCAGGTTAGCTCGAAGACTTCACGCCAACCCCCCAAACCGATGGCCCCCAAACCGATGGCGACAGCAGTACAGCAGACAAGGAGGAGGGTAAGGGGGAGACGACGAAGGATAAGAAGGGCAAGGGCAGGAAGGGCAAGGGCAAACGGCAGCAAAAGGTTGCGGCGACTGCAGCTGCGCAGAAGGCGAAGGCGGAAGAGGCGAAGGGCAACAGGCGGCAAAGGGTTGTGGCGACTTTCATGGCCTGCTTCATCGTAGATTGGTTCTTGGAGCCGATCTGCAAGACGCACAAATTTGCATCGAGGGCGGACAGATTCAAGAGCCTTGTTCGCGCTGTCCGTGCAGGGGGCGATACGGTACCCAAGCTGATGCTCAAGGCGCTCGAGGACAACCCTGGAAAGGTCAAAGACGGGGAGTTCGGGTTCTTCAACTCCGAAAGACTGAAGATCCTGACATCTACAGCATCTACAGCAGGTGAACACTCAATAGACTAGGCTACAGCAGGTGAAAACTCTAAAACTACTGTAGTAGGCTAGGCTAGGTATTGAGCTTGCACAGTCTGGGACCCTTTGTTTAAGGCGGTGGCGACCTAATCATGATTGCTCGTGACGACCCGCCCTCACCCAATTACCTGTAGGCCCGAAGACGAAGGCCGATGGAGCAGCACCACAAAACGACGATGACGGAGGCCAAGGGGGATCCTCGCGTGATGACCCTCCTGGTGGTGCACCTGGGTGGACTGGCCGGAGGGTGCAGCTTTCCGTGGGAGCCGGAGAATCCAAGGTGCAGGTACTGGTATCATTTACCGAAGAGGAAATGAGTCGGTGCGGCTTGATGGATGAGGGGGGCATCGTCAAAAAGGAGCCAGTTATTTGCTACTTCGCCCAAACAGACACGTGAGTGCAACAGCGGGGTACGGCCAAGCTAAGACAGTTACGTTTTTGACATACCACTCGATCCTTTAAGCGGCGTCTCTAGTGTTGTTTTTGTTAGTGTTGTTGTTGAGACGTCCGAAAGAGGGCAACAAGCCCAACAAACGCCCTACTCGACCGATCAGATGAAAAGGTTGTTGGGTGAGTATTTCATAGCCGTGCAATACCTTGCTCGAGCATTTCACCGATTAAACGCGCAATTCGACCGATCAGGTCAAAAGGGGTTGGATGAGTATTTCATAGCCATGCCACAACTTTGTTTTCCTCGAGCTAGACAGTTACCACGTTTTTTTAACACGCCACTCGATCCCTTAAGTGTTGTCTTTAAGTGTTGTTGTTGAGATGTCAAAGGAGAGCAACTAAGCCCAACAAACGCCCTACTCGACCGATCAGATGAAAAGGTTGATGGGTGAGTATTTCATAGCCGTGCAATACCTTGCTCGAGCACTACACCGATTAATCGCGCAATTCGACCGATAAGGTCAAAAGGGGTTGGATGAGTATTTCATAGGCATGCAATAACTTCTGCTCGAGCTAGACAGTTACCACGTTTTTTTAACACGCCACTCGATCCCTTCAGTGTTGTCTCTAGTGTTGTTTTTGAGACGTCAAAGGAGAGCAACTAAGCCCAACAAACGCCCTACTCGACCGATCAAATGAAAAGGTAGATGGGTGAGTATTTCATTGCCGTTCAATACCTTGCTCGGGCTTTTCGACCCATCAGGTCAAAAGGTTTCTGAATGAGTATTTCATAGCCGTGCAATAACTTTTGCTCGAGCATTACACCGGTTTCATAGTCGATCAAAAAAGCAAACGAGAAGAGACGGACCGAGTGGCACGACACGTGCCGGATTGAATTTCTTTTCGCCAATTCCCCCCCCCCCAACGCTGCACCATTGCACCAACCGCCCAGTAGTAGTGATTTCGTACCACTACAATGTATCGCTGGTTGGTGGCCATGTTTGCGTGTTTGCTTGTTCGTTAGTGGTCTCTCCACCGTGTGCCTTGTTCTGCCTCATACTTCCTGTTATTTTCGGCCTGGTCCCTCTTTGTCCTCGCCCTTTTTCATTTTATTTTCATTTATTTTCTCTTCTCCTTACGGTTTCCATTTTTATTTTTTTCTCCTTTTTTTTTCTCTTTTTTCTTTTTTTCTCTCTCTTTTTTTCTCTCTTTTTCTGGGCCAGATGGCCTTGTCTCTGCTTGCGTTGTGAAGTACCAAGATTGAACCTAGGGGGTGTACCTCTTTCTCTCGGGCCCATGATAGATAGTAGCTGATAATCTTAGTTGATACCTCGCATAGCGCGAAGTAGGAGCGGAGGATCCCAGAATATCTGTCGTTGATTTCTATTGACTTGCGGACCCCTCGGGGCCAGTTTATTTGAGGGTACCTTTTTAGGGTAAGTTAACCTGTGACCACGGGAATCGACCGCGTCGAGTGTTGGATCAGTACGGACATACGAAGGTACTGGGTAGAGAGAGATCGGAACGGTTTTTAATGTGAAGACAACAACAATCACTTGCCGGTAAATATTGATCTGAGCGATGGGTGCTTTACCAGGTGTTTTCACTAAGTGGGCTCTACGTAGTCGCACGCTGAGTTGATGCATCTTTACGAACAAACAAGAAAGACAACCCGGGCCACACGGCTGAGGCCCAGACGTTTGACGAATACCATGATCATGGCAGCCACAAGGCATCCAGGACAAGAGGCGATAGTTGCGGACGTCTTCGTCTCACACGGAATCGCTATTTTTCCATATCGACGTGGATTTCGGAACAATCACTCCGTACCGAACATTCCGCGGCGAACCAAGGGCCAGTTGTCTCGATTTCGCACGTAACCCAGCGAGGACAAGAAGCGCAATGAGGAGAAGGACACTGCCAAGAACACGAAGAAGTCGGGCAGCAATAAGCGCTACCGTTCGACACTACCCGACACAAAGTGAGAGCATCAAGTCGTCCACAGTCGAAGTCACTGCCGAAGTGTTTCCATTGTCCAAGTTGTTGGTCACTCCTGTTCACTCACGAGTTGGAAAACCGTACGTGGCAACCACAGCCCCATTGCTACAGACCAATTTCAAAAGTTCATTACCGCCCCCCTCCGCCATTCATTCGCCAGCTCGATTGATTAGCTCTGTTACAACTTCGAATCGGCTGATCAATCGTCTCGTCTACCGAATGAGCGCATTCCACAAATGTGTTCGAATGGTCAGCAGCCTCCTCGACCGATCAGCGTAATCACCATAGACGAAATACTGGATCGCTCCATCAGATACAAAGTTACCCGTTCTCTGTTAACAACCGTTCTCCCTCCAGCAGCGGTGCGGGGGACTCTGATCCCTGTGTAACACCGGCGGAGCGATCACTCATGTTGTCGATCCCTCATCGATGTTACATAATGTGCGCTCACTCAGCACCAATACAAAACGTCCATAACCGGCCCCATAGACCGTTCGCCTCCTCGATCGACCAGCTCTGTTACAAAATGGATTCGACCGATCGTTTCACTCCTTGAACGATCACTCGCCTCCGCGACCGATCAGCGCATTCCCAATTCTGTTCCGGCTGTCATTATCCTCCTCGATCGGTCAGTGCTATTATTGCAGGGAACGATATTTTGCACACACCAAGCATTTTATCGTTGTTCCATCAGATGCTACGCTACCCGTGTCAACAACCTTTCTCTGTCCAGCAGCGGTGCGGGAGACCAAGGCGACACGCCCACAGCACAGCCTAACAAGAAGAAGAAGAAAAGTCTTAGGAAGGCACCCGATGGTACCGATTCCTCTGGTGACGAGGTGTTGGCTTCAGACAACCACGGCGGGAGTGGTGGCATTCTCCTAGAAAACACGTCCTCGTCGAGCGACGATGATTCACAAGATGATTGCTCACAACAGCAGAGGGCCAAGGTGAACTACAAGAAGAAGGCCTTTCCTAAGGATATTGGCGCTTCACCTACCTCATCTTCTGAGGCGCCAGACGACGCAAAGAGGTGCGCCTGTATTTTCATATATATGATGGTGCTCAACGTTTGTTTGTCCCTGCCGAAGAACCAAATACGCTGGTTGGAGCCACCCACCCGGCTTGAGAGTACACCGGATAACGCAATCTGCTCCTCGCTCGAGTAGCTACACGAAACGTGATTGAGAGAGCACGTGTGTTTGTAGCCACCTACCTGGCTTGAAAGCACACCAAACAACGGTAGCTGCTCCTCGCTCGAATAGCTACACGGAACGCGATTCCAGCCAAACAAGAGCGCGTGTGCTGGTTGCGTTTGGTATTATTATGCCCGAGGTTAACGACAACACCATGTACATAATCTTCACGCCGTCGTATTGCCAACCCAAATTCAACCAGGGAGGGTGCAGACGAAGGCGCTCATGGGTCGGGAGCCGAGAACACAACCGACAGTGAGGTTCCCGAATCCGGTTCCACCGCGGCTCCAACTGACGAGTAAGAAGTGAGAACATTATTGAGTTCGTTTCTGAATGCCTTTCTCATGCCAGGATACACCAAGAGTGAAACCGAAGATGTGAGGTGTGAAGTTCACATTATAAATTGAATACAAATAAATTGAATACATTCAAGGTACACCGAAGAATTACTATTCTCACCCTAATACTCCTCAACTTCGCGTCGCAACCTTTTGATGCAGGGAAACAATCAGGTCAATTGTGAAGTCAGCGAAGAAAGAGGGCATCATTTCAGTCGGGGGGTTGCCCAATTATTTCCAAAACAGATTGGAAGCGAACCAGTTCAAGAGCCTGAACATCACGCAGGATTCCAAGGCCACCACCGGCCGCACCACCGCCTACGTCATTGTGGCGGACCGTCTACAACCACCAGGGCAAATCAACACGAAATGGCTCAAGGATCCAGAGAAGGCAACGTACACCTATAGCGATGGTGATGCTCGTGGTTCCCTTGTAGATCTCGTCCTGGGAAAACACGGAACCACGTTTCCTCGCGATGGCACAGAACAATGGAAACCGCCTGTATTAGAGCGCACGAGGGGTCGATCCTCAACGTAGAGGTGTATGCATTTCGACCACCACTACCAGTACGCTGTTGCTCCTCGGCAGGCATCCATGACAGGACATTTTTAGGATTGTAGACCCTTATCCTTTTTCTCTCTTAGGTAAAGTAGGACGCCCACGGAAGACATATCGGAACCGCTGCATGGAGGTCGAGAGAGGGCGGTCTTGGTGTGTTTGCGTGTTGGTGTGGGTGGAGAGGTGTGCAGTGAGAGTAAAGACCTACAGATGGTTGCGCGCGGAGATCTTGTGCCGTTGCTTCGATTTTCGTAGGGCACTGCTGCTGGCTTGGCGAAAGATGCAACAGATTTCGCTCTATTGGTTCGTTTTACTGCACGTTTGGGATAGGTTTTCGTTTACACCAACAATTCATGACCGTTGGTGTGCGGGGGGAAATAAATGTGTACCTTACGTGCGGGGGACTTTTAAGTGTAAGCTCAATAGATTGATCCTCGGCCGATCAAGTGGTGTGCGGGGGCGTTCACCTTTCGTGTGGGCGACGTGTGAGTGAAGATTGAATGTACATCTACGCGGCAACCGTGTTGCCAACTATATCGTAGGTGTTGACCCGCGGGGGGTTACATTCATTCCTTGCCGTCAGTGTTGCACCTGCAGTTCGGAGGGAATATACGTTTAACATATGTGTCTTGAAGCTTGACGGTGGCAATGACGGGGGACCACAAGACGACGAACTAAAGCTGAGAAAAGTGGGTTAGACTTTTCGTTTCCAAACATTCTCGTAGGGGCTTCCTCGCCTTTTTTGACTATCTCCAAGCTCCTTGACGTACCACGTTGTGCGCTGGGATATATTCTAAGAGTGTGCCCGTTGTTCGTCCCTTTTCCAGAGGTTGTGACATGGTCACATCCTGAAGTGTTTGGAAACAGCGAAGCTCTTGTCGACGCCTATTGTGCTAGCACAGCGACGACGGAGCCGATGCACCACGACACCCACGCGATGCTTTTCTTGCAACGGGGAGAAGTGCACGGTGCACTTCTCAGTTGTATGTTGAGGACATTTTCGACCGAAAGACATATTCCAGCCATTCGCCGCATCATCAACGCGCCGATTAACGGCAAATGTTCACACGGCGGTGTGCGAAAGCGATTTGTGCCCAATATATTGACTTGGTTTTAATGTGCTGTAATTCGAGGTGCCCCCCCTACCGTAGCATGACTCCAAGGCAGACGGCGGAGCAGTTGCTCTGGTGGTGGCGTCGTTGTCATGTTGTGCAACGTTACCCGATGACGCGCCGCTAACATCCTGTCTTAGTTAAAGGTTGTGCAGTGCAAGTTCTGAAGTATGCCCAAGCCCGCGGAGCTTCGAGGCAAATAGTTACGAAATAGGGGTGAATCCCAGAAACTAACGCGCGCTGCACCATTTAGCTAAGGATTTGGGAATTTGCTGCATATGGCTGTTGGGGGCAACACATTGGAACGAGTATCCCGAAGGGCGGGAAGATGAGGTCAGAGGAATGTGTAGCAGACGCTCACAATAGAGGACTCGCAAGGGGTGTCCCGTTCGGTACGACATAGCGAGTCGGGAGGCAATCGGGGGAAAGCACTGTGTGCGGTAGGTAGGCAGTAACAGGAGCTAATCCCACTGCACGAGTAGTGTCATGATGACCTCGATGTTGGCGAAGAAAATGGTAGGGTACTATTTTAGGGACTTGGTCATCTGAGACTACTGTGTGCAGTAAGATTGGTTCCCTCCACCGCAGGAGAGGGCACCCTCAGTTGCTGTTTGGAGGGAAGTAGAGAGACTGTCTTTATTGGGAGAGAGGGAGAGGCACGATAGAAAGGCCGCAGAAACGTTCGCACCTCGTATCCGACAAACATACTGAGAGTGCGGCGGTGGCCGAAGCAAGCCACACACTCAGTAGCAGGGCACCGTACAAGAGACGAATACCCGTATTTTGTGCTCCGGGTCAGTTTAAAATACCGAAAGTGCGGCGGTGGCCGAGGCCAGTCTCGCGCTCAATAACAGGGCACAATACAAGCGACATATTGTGTCAAACAGTGTCAACGTTTGCACTTCGTATCCGACTAACCTAGCGAGAGCTTGGCCGTCGCCAAACCAGTCTCGCGCTCATTAACAGGGCGCCGTACAATCGACATGTTGTGTCAAACAGTATGTACGTTCGCGTTTCGTATCCGACAAACATACTGAGAGTGCGGCGGTGGCCGAAGCCAGCCACACACTCACCAGCAGGGCACCGTCCAAGCGAGGTTTCGTGTCAAATAGTATATACTTTGGCACTTCGCATCCGACGAACATACTGAGAAGGCGGCGGTGGCCGAAGCCAGCCACACTCTCAGTAGTAGAGCACCGTACAAGATACGAATACCCGTATTTGTGCTCCGGGTCAGACTAAACTACGGTAACTGCGGCGGTGGCCGACGCCAGTCTCATGCTCAGTAACAGGGCACAATACAAGCGACACATTGTGTCAAACAATATCAACCTTTGCACTTCGTATCCGACTAACCTAGCGAGAGCTTGGCCGTCACCAAACCAGTCTCGCGCTCAGGAACAGGGCGCCCTACAATCGACATGTTGTGCCAAACATTGTATACGTTTGCACTTTGTATACGACAAACATACTGAGAGTGCGGCGGTGGCCGAAGCAAGCCACACACTTAGTAGCAGGGCACCGTACAAGAGATGAATACCCGTATTTTGTGCTCCGGATCAGTTTAAATTACCGAAGGTGCGGCGGTGGCCGAGGCCAGTCTCGCGCTCAATAACAGGGCACAATACAAGCGACATATTCTGTCAAACAGTGTCAACGTTTGCACTTCGTATCCGACTAACCTAGCTAGAGCTTGGCCGTCGCCAAACCAGTCTCGCGCTCATTAACAGGGCGCCGTACAATCGACATGTTGTGCCAAACATTGTATACGTTTGCACTTCGTATACGACAAACATACTGAGAGTGCGGCGGTGGCCGAAGCTAGCCACTACACTCACCAGCAGGGCACCGTACAAGCGACGTTTCGTGTCAAATAGTATATACTTTGGCACTTCGCATCCGACGAACATACTGAGAAGGCGGCGGTGGCCGAAGCCAGCCACACTCTCAGTAGTAGAACACCGTACAAGCGACATATAGTGTAAAACCTTATATACGTTCGCGCTTCGTATCCGACAAACATGCCAAGAGTGCGGCCGTGGCCGAAGCACACCACACACCAGTAACAGGGCACCGCACAAGAGACGAATACCTGTGTTTGTGCTCCAGGACAGACTAAACTACCGAAAGTGCGACGTTGGCCGAGGCCTGTCTCGCGCTTAGTAACAGGGCAGGGTACAAGCGACATATTGTGTCAAACAGTGTCAACTTTTGCACTTCGTATCCGACTAACGTAGCCAGAACCTGGCCGTCGCCAAACCAGTCTCACGCTAAGTAACAGGGCACCGTACAAGCGACGTTTCGTGTCAAACAGTGTATACGTTCGCACCTCGTATCCGACAAACATACTGAGAGTGCGGCGGTGGCCGAAGCAAGCCACACACTCAGTAGCAGGGCACCGTACAAGAGATGAATACCCGTATTTTGTGCTCCGGGTCAGTGTAAAATACCGAAAGTGCGGCGGTGGCCGAGGCCAGTCTCGCGCTCAATAACAGGGTACAATACAAGCGACATATTGTGTCAAGCAGTGTCAACGTTTGCACTTCGTATCCGACTAACCTAGCGAGAGCTTGGCCGTCGCCAAACCAGTCTCGCGCTCAGTAACGGGGCGCTGTACAATCGACATGTTGTGCCAAACATTGTATACGTTTGCACTTCGTATACGACAAACATACTGAGAGTGCGGCGGTGGCCGAAGCCAGCCACACACGTACTAGCAGGGCACTGTACAATCGACGTTTTGTGTCAAACAGTATATACTTTGGCACTTCGCATCCGAAGAACATACTGAGAGTGCGGCGGTGGCCGAAGCCAGCCACACACTTACTCGCAGGGCACTGTACAATCGACGTTTCGTGTCAAACAGTATATACTTTGGCACTTCGCATCCGAAGAACATACTGACAGTGCGGCGGTGGCCGAAGCCAGTCACACTCTCAGTAGTAAAGCACCGTACAAGATACGAATACCCGTATTTGTGCTCCGGGTCAGACTAAACTACGGAGGTTGCGGCGGTGGCCAAGGCAGTCTCATGCTCAGTAACAGGACACAATGCCAGCGACACATTGTGTTAAACAATATCAACCTTTGCACTTCGTATCCGAAGAACCTAGTGAGAGCGCGGTCGTCGCCGAAGCCAGTCTCCCGCCCAGTAGTAGGGCACCGTTCAACCGACATCTTGTGTGAAACCTTATATACGTTCGCACTTCGTATCCGACAAACATACCAAGAGTGGGGCGGTGGCCGAAGCACGCAACACACCAGTAGCAGGGCACCGCACAAGAGACGAATAC